CTGCTATGGGTACTTTTTACTGAAGTACATTTCAAAGCCCTCTTTACTTTTACTTGAGTAAAGAAGTTTAGTCAGTACTTCTACTTCTACTATTTTTAAACACAAGTATCTGTACTTCTACTTGAGTAAAGGATGTGTGTGCTTTGGCCATCTCTGTTTAATACACACTCTCATACACACACACGCACACACACGCACACGCACACACACGCACACGCACGGCACGTGCAGTATATATTCAACCATGCATAGTACAGAGTGTTTCAAAAAGCTTTTGTCTTGCAGTGTGAGCTCCAGTCCGAGGGATTTCAACATCGAGATGGAAACAGAGGAGGAGTGGGAAGCTCTGAGTCTGAACCCGAACCAGCCTCTCATAACAAGAAAGGTACGCAGATGACAGCAAATATATATATTTATTTATTCAGGTGTGTTTTAAATAGTTTTATCTCATGTGTTTTGGATTTAAGAAGTGATTTACCACAATTGTATTTCTGCCTTTCAGGGCTTCTGTACTTTACTCATCAAAACAAGCCTGTAAATAAATGTGTGTTCCTGGTTCCTTATATTCAGATAAAACAGTAAAGCGTCATCACCTTGTGGGGGAAATCTTTTGGAGCAATAGAACTGGAAAACACACATTTTAATAGAATATGGAGATGTCCTTGAGCAAATGTACCCAACTATGACGGGTTTTAAACGTATTTTATTCAAACCATCACACATTTAGACTCTAAAGAATACGCCTGAAGATTAATAAGGACGTCACGTGATTAGCTCAATACTTTTTTAGAATAAATGAGATTCAGAAACAGGTTTATCACCAAGTAGGTTGACACGTACAAGGAATTTGACTTGGTGTCGTACATACATAAAAGTAAAACAAAAATGTAAAAACACAGATAGAGAACTAATTTAAGAACACTATAATAACATAAAAATTAAAAATTAAATAAAGCAGTATTTACATCGAAATAGAATGGAATAAAATATGTGCAGTTAAAAAAAATAAAAACTGTGAAAATACTCCTTTATGACACTCCAAATGTAGCCAACTCTGACGGGTTTTAAACGTATTTTCTTCAAACCATCACACATTCAGGCTCCAAAGAATACGCCTGAAGATTAATAAGGAGGTCACGTGTCGCTGGAACATCATTAGCTCAATACTTTAACAGTAAAACAGTGAAACTCTCCTTTAGGACATTTTGTTCTGTGTGTTTTCAGGTGAAAGGAGGCATGGTGGCGTGTCGCCGCTGGATCAGGGGGCGGAGCCTCTACTTTTCGCGCCTGCTGACGAGCCGCGCCCGCTCTCGACATCTCTTCCTGTTCTACCTGCTCTCCGTCCACCTGCTGCTCCTCATGTGCCTCACCGGCGCCCTGTAGACCGGCTAATCTAATCTCACAGGAACATTAAAGTAAAAGTCAGATTTTAGCTCATACTGCATTTTTATACCCTCTGTGTGTGATAACGCATGGTGAAACACTACAAGAGGCGCACATACATTAGAGGAGAGGATGTTAAAGTTACGTTTTGCAAGGTTTTATGGGAAATCCTCCACAAAATGTGTATTTTTTATTTATCAGATGGTTTTTTTGTAACATTTAAAAGTGAGTTTCCTTTAAATTAACACAGAGGTTTTTCTTTACATATTATATAGTAATTTAAGCCTTAAAAGTATGAGAATCTCCTCTTCCCTTGCTGTATTATTTAGGTGTGCTGTCTTCAGTTTGTTTTAAAACCCAAATTAAGAAGCAAGACGAGGAAATAAAGTTTAATTTTTGACACAAGATAAAGAAGAAAATACTTGAGTAAAGCCTAAGAAGGTGCAGAAAGCCATATCCTTTGCTAACACTAATATTTAAATGTCACACACGTTTGCACCAGCTGCTGCTTCCTCTCACGCCTGGTTTCATATCTTGCACATAATCGTGATGCTGAGTTTAAACTATGCACTGACGCTCCAAAAGTGTACATAATAATCATATGATATAATCTCAGAAGCACTACACCCCCTGTCTCCTCTTGAACTGCAAACCCAACGCAGTTTTAAATATGCCCGTTAAATAAAGACAGACGAAGGTTCGATATATGCTAACTCTATTGGAAGTGTACGGTGGCTGAAAGGTGCGAACGCGCTACAACGGACTAAAACATTTCCATTAGCAGAAACACGCTGCATCTTCAGAAACCATCCAAATATACAAACACAAATGTTCCAAAACACATGCCGATGAATCGTTACCAACTTGACGAGACATGCGCAAATAGAAAATGCTACAAGAAGCTAAATACACAACGAAGACCAGGGGACTTTAAAAAGTGACGCACACAGCTGGAAGACCAGAGGACACTAAAAAGTGACGCACACAGCTGCGACCGGAGCGCTTGTTGATGTTCAAGATTACAAAGTTCGTCTGTCTCGTAACTGTAAGTGTTTAGTTTGAAATGACTAGATTAGCTACGTTAGCTAGCTAGCTTACAGCAGATCTGCGATAACATCAGAAAGAGTCATGTGATCACGTTGTTAAAAGCTGATAAATCATTTTAGGTGAGTTTCCGACAACAGAGACAGTTGTTCAATTTTTATAACACTGAACGTCACCAAGCACTCCGGTCCCAGCTGTGTGCGTCACTCTTTAGTGTCCCCTGGCCTCCCAGCTGTGTGCGTCACTCTTTAGTGTCCCCTGGTCTCCCAGCTGTGTGGCTTTTCAAGCTGGTGTAGTGCTCGAGAATTTCTATGTCCGTCATGTGTTTTATACGGAGGACTAGTAAAAAGTCAATCAAAAGGTATTTTATCTAAGTCGAAGTATCAAAACTATACAGGTAGTTAGTGCTGGAAATACCATGTCTAGTCATCTCCCTGTCACATGGTCTGGGTGGTAGTTGCGAGTGAAATGTGTTGACCCAGTTACTTGTTCGGTCCTTCGTAGAGTTACCCCCAAAGTAAGAAGACAAAGACCGAACAAGTTAACTGGCTGAAAGAGTATTAGTGTCTGATATGTCGTTGAGTTCTTGTTTCATGTCAGTAGTCCGTCTTCTCCTATACTTTACGTATATATGTATTTATGTTCGGTACATGTCTTATGAGATGAGTATTTAATGTTCTTTGGTGTTTATGTGTGTCTAATGAAAGTATGGCCGTGACGAAAAAGAAAACGTCATGTAAAGAGTGCCTCCGGCCTGTCCATTTTTGACGCTGTTCCCCTCTTCTTCTGACGTTTATATTTTTGTGTTCTACACGGTTTTGTGTACGGTTGCTTGAACTTCTGTGTACACGTCTCAAGTGACTTTCGAGACCGCATTATCCTTTGAGACTGTTTCTTCGAGTTTTGCGTTGCCTCTGGTCCCCTGTGAATTTTTCACTGCGTGTGTTGACCCTCCTGGTCCCTGTGATTCTCACTGCGTGTGTCGACCCTCTTGTCCCCTGTGATTTTTCACTGCGTGTGTCGACCCTGAAACCCTTCGGTACCCCTGTGATTTTTCACTGCGGGTGTCGACCCTCCCGGTCCCCTGTGATTTCTCACTGCGTGTGTCGACCCTCAGGTCCCCTTGTTTCTACTGCGTGTGTCGACCGCTCCGGTCCCCTGTGATATTCTCACTGCGTGTGTCGAACCCTCTTGTCCCCTGTGAATTTTTTCACTGCGTGGAGTGTCGACCCCTCTGGTCCCCTGTGCATTTTCACTGCGTGTGTACCCCTCTGTCCCCCTGTGATTTTTCACTGCGTGTGCGAACCTCTTGTCCCCTGTGATTTTTCACTGCGTGTGTCGACCAATTCGGTCCCCTGTGATTTTTCACTGCCGTGTGTCGAACCCTCCGGTCGCCCTGTGATTTTCNTATTGATATACACCTGAACATCAGCAGGAGAGGACTCTTTAAAGTAGAGACACTACATACTGATATACACCTGAACATCAGCAGGAGAGGACTCTTTAAAGTAGAGACACTACATACTGATATACACCTGAACATCAGCAGGAGAGGACTCTTTAAAGTAGAGACACTACATACTGATATACACCTGAACATCAGCAGGAGAGGACTCTTTAAGTGAAAGTTATAGCAGCAAAATCAAATTGAGTTACTAGTTATGTCAAATGTTCTTTTTCGTTTAGGCGTATATTTTCATGTTTATCGTTTTTATGTCACTATTGGTTTGTTTTGTGTCTCTTTGTGTATGTGTGCATCTGTTTGTAGTCATCCTGCATCCATTGGTCTTTTGCATGTCTGACATATGTTGAGTTTCTTTGTGGTCGCATTCTCAGTACTTTTGGTCAATTCTTTTTTTGGTGAATTTGTGTCTCTGTGACAAAATAAGAAACGTTAGCTGTACATTCAGTTACCGGTCCATGATAACAAGATGTTTTATTTATGCAAACGTTTCCTGTAATATGTACATGAAGCCACTAGATGGCAAAGTCTGCTTATTTAACACCTGAACCACAAACCAGATCCACACCATTATAAGTATTTTAGTATTTCCCCAGATACTGGGAGAGAAGGGTTTCAAACTGAATCTCCTCATTATATAAGCTGTGGTTAATGGGTTTGCCCCATTCTCCTTTTTATGGAAGAGTTATTTTGGCTGCAGCTAACATAGTTGATATCCTGCCTTTACGTCCAGCCTTCAATCTCATAAATATTAATGAAGAAATTCCCCTTTTACGCCTGTATGCTCTAGTTTCATATGTTTCACTGTGAAAGGGTTGGATTATTGAAGGGTGTCTTCGATCTTTAGCTATTATCGTCCCCATAGAAGCTCTGTGTTCATTAATCAAAAGGCGGATTACATCTCTGTGCCTTCACTTTGATTTTTCATTAATGATCAATCACATTTTCCTCTCGCCTCGTCGGTTTTCTCCTTTTTTTTCACAGTGCAAGATGAGATATTCTCTTTTTGTTTCTGACAGGGATGATTCACCCATTTCTACATTTACATGCCTGAACTGCACATTTGTTACACTTGGATCTCATGATTTGTGTAGGAAACCAGGCTCTGGTTCTGATAAAAGTGGAAAGAAATCAGCTTGTTTCACTCCTGCTTCCTTCAGCTCCTCTCCACCGTCCTCAGGTTGCTGTGACCCACTTGCCTCCAGCTCCAGAGCAAGAGATCCGGAGGAGTTGGAGAGAAAGAGGGCGTGAGGAGGAGAGGTGAAAGCATGTGGGAGTCTGCTATGATTAATGTGCTTTCAGAGATGCAGAGATGGAGAGCGGCGAGCAGGGCAGCTGTGATGTGAGCTGCTGGAGGCTGGCTCCGGTACAGGTGCATCCAACAAATGAATGACCCCATCTTAATGCATCAGTTTAAAACACATCAGATTTTGGTGGTATTGGACAATATACTGACAACATAACTATGTAATACACATATACAGTAAGCCATTTATACACATATGCACTTACTGTAACCATGCAATTGACAAAATGCATTGCTTTTTCTTTGTCACTTTTCTTTCTCTTACGTTTTGCTTTTTTCCAAAATACTTCCTATGGTGGCTGAACCGTGCAAATGCGCTGCAAAAACGAATTAACGCTGAAAAAACCCCTTCTACAAATATTATATTCTTGGACGGTTACAACTATCTGAGCAGGAAGGGAGGTATTTTACACTTTGGAACAGCTGTAACACTCTGTGAACTGTAAGTGCAACTACGACCACTTTCTCAGTGGAAATCACAACGGCATTGCATATCTAAAAGTGGTAGAAACTGACCCAAAATATTAATGTTTTAACCTTATTTATTGTGTAAGTAAATTGTCTCATACCACCAAAAACAAAAGTGGGTTTGTTTTGTTCAAGTCAAAAATGTTTGGACGATTTTTTACCTGGAAAAGTCAGTTTTGTTCCAACACTGACTGGTTTTAATGTGCCATACACAGATGTCAGCTTCATTAGCTAAATGCTATTGTGTGTCTAACACTGATTTACAAGATTCATCAACTGTAGGGAAAAGTTTTCTTGGAAAAGCAAAACTAGAGTACAAAGTAATGCAGAAAAACAATATGCATTTTGTCCATGTGCACATTTTAATATATAGATGAGTTGCTTTTATGTATTAATGAGTCTCATGTACTGAAAACAGAAGATTCCCCTTTGATCTTTAATGTAATATTCAATGAACTGGACATTTACCACAAAATGAATCAATGCAACAACAAACAAACATCAGCAAGGTCAACACTTTTAGAATAAATCAGCAAATAATGTAATTCACCCTCCTCAAGGGTATAGGAACACCTTGTTCTAGATGTTATGACATATCCATGTATTTTTGAGAGATTTAAAGTAGATTATTTTTGCATTGGATGCTTCAAACAACAATTCATTTTTAAGACAATTTCACTGAATATCAACGCGATCAGGAAGTCATGTGAAAATATGGGACAAATGTACTTATTGTTTTGCACACGTGCCCAAACACGTGCCTTATCCTGGGATAAATGAGGAATTGAAATGGGGCAATGATGATCCTGCAGAGAGGAGGTTCTCTCCCGCTGCCGGTCAGAGAGTGGATGGGTTTTATCTTTCCAGGGAAGTAGGCTGGAGTGTGTTCAGATAAATCTGCATGGGAGCCATCATCAGTCGCTCCACTTTGATCCTCCGGAGGATCCAAGGCAGCAGCGGTGACCTCCTCCTCCTCCTCCTCCTCCTCTTCACAACCAGCCTCTTCCTGTGAATCTCAGCTCACTCTTACATGTGCTTCATCACCTCCGAGGAAATAAAAGCTACAAACGCTGCAGCAGCTCAGATGGATTTCACTTTTATGCTTGCATTTGAAATATGGTGTCCCTCAAGGATCAATCTTAGGGTCTGTGATATTTATCTCTTTAAAAGTCATCTTTCTCAAATGTCATCGATTGTATTTGCAGTCCTTAGTGTTTATTTCTTTGTTCATATTAAAAAGATCCATTGGTTCAAAAGTAATCTTAAAGTATCAACACACATATTTACTTCCAACTCAAACACGAGGATCAACAAGTTGTTCTTCTCTCCTCTTCAATAGTTTCACATCCTCTTCATCCGCAGATGTTATTGTTTAGTGGCTCACATTATTGGACATTGTGTTATTGTTATTTAGTCCATTCTGCATGGTGGCATATGTCACTGTACAGAAAAGCAACGATGAAAGAAGTAGAATAATCTTTTACTTAACACCACAATTAAAAATGTTTTCGAAAGTAACATAATAATCCTACAAATGCGGCAGAAGCTCAGGATGGATTTTACTGTTATGTTAGCATTTGAAATATGGTGTCCCTCAAGGATCAATCTTAGGGTCTGTGATATTTGTCTTTCTAACAGTCATCTTTCTCAAATGTCATTCTGGAAGGATTGTAGTGTTTATTTCTGTGTTCATATTGAAAAGATCCATTGGTTCAACACAAATCTTTAACTATCGACAGACGTATTTACTTCCAACTCAAACGTGAGGATCAACAAGTTGTTCATCTCTCCTCCTCAATCATTTCACATCATCTTCATCAGCTGATGTTATTTGTTGTGCTGGATCACATTATTTGAAATAGTGTTACTGTTGTTTAGTCCATTCTGAATGGTGGCATATGTCACTGTAAACACACATCTTTTGCTTAATACCACAATTAAAAGAAAAACAGTTAGACAATTAGCATAATATGGCTATAAGTCGAGGTTAAAGTAAAGATGTCTTGGTTATATTTCTTGTTAAAAAAATGCT